ATTCCGGGTACTAACCAGGGTCAAGCGTGCGTTGAGGAATCCTCGACATGTCACAGAGGGGGGGGGGTCGTATTGGCCCGCTGGGGAGAGATCGGGCCCGATTGATACAGTAGGATCATCGTCGGAGGACAAACATTAAGGATCGAATCGATACCAGGCCAGAGTATTTCCAATAACAATTGATTCCGTCCACACAAAATCTTCGTGATTTAGAGGTGTCCGCTTAGCAAGTTCTTAGTGTGACTTTAGTGTTTCATACACCTACACACAAGTCAAAGGATCCGAAATTCGCACGTTTTCTAGGGATATTTTATCTTTCAAGTAGGTCCTCAAATCCAACGAGATGTGAAGCACACGGCGCATCCCAGAGTGGGCCCAGTTGGTTGCGCGCGCTTCAGCTACGGCTATCTTGATAACGAATCTTAATTCAGGAAGAATCAAGAGGGTTCTGAAAGAGTTCATGTTAAATTACAGAGAGGAGTACACTATTCAACAAGAAACGCAGCCTTCAGCGTCAAATTCACAAGCATGTAACCTTTAAAGTTGAGACCCGCTAAACAATTTTACACTTTTTGCAGAGAGAAAAGCACGAGGATTTTGAATCTGCTCCTACTTCAGTATGTAATCGCTCCTGCAAGGAGCTATAGTCGTTGGGATAGTGCTAATGTAGCGAAAAAGTACCTTTCGGCGGCACTCGGGCAAATCCTCAACGTGGCCATTTTTTTTATAAATAGTGAACGTATTTAGCAGTTTTAGTTGCCTATAGAAAGCCACGTCTTCTTTAAAGTTAAATGATGACGTAATCCACTTTCCCGGCTTGTGGATAAATGCGTAACTCGCACTCATCACGAATTTTCCTCGTTAATTTTGCAAAAATCCTCAACGTGGCCATTTTTTGAGTACTGGACGTATGAAGCTGCTTTAGCGACCGTTTGATAGAGAAAATCTTCTAGTTTTGTATGACGTATCAACTTTTTGAATTTGACGGAAATGAAGCAAGTTATTGCTCCGGAAAGTGTAAAAACTCGTGCTCGTCTCGAATTTTCCTCGTTATTTGATCTAAATTTGTTATTTCTTATAACTTCCTGTAATTTCAGTACTGATTAGAAAAAGCTCTTCACAAAACTCCCAAATCAGCTTTCAGATTGAAAATTCGTTAACTTTGAAGAAAGTTATAATCATTTGAATATTTGTTCAAATTTCAATAGTAAATAAGCTGCTCCACGGTCAACGCCAAAGTCCAGTCAACACACAGCTGGCGAAGGCTTTTACAAGGCTTCCTTTGAGCGAAAGGGGGACGTGTAAATTGAGAACCATAATCTGTGTAGTACTAGAATTTGGTAAGTCTTGTGGAGGAAATAAACAAAGAAGAGGTGTTGTCATAGTACGCCATTTCTAGTGACTAGTTTGACGTTTTTTGCTCCGTTTCTCGTTTGCTCGTTTGACAGGACTCGTCATTTCATTCTTTGACTTTTATACTTTTAAACGAGTTTTTTTGTGGACGATGGGGTAGCAGGGCTTTTTTATGAGCAGTTTTGGTGGAGAATTAAACAACTTTTTCATAGTTCGGCTTTTAAAGAGGGTTGTTTCATGGACTTCGGCCTTCGGCAGAGGGGGGGGGGGTCGTATTTCCGAATTTTCCTCGACGCCTCGCTTGACCCTGGCTACCACCCAGCTAGCCGTGTGAGCAAAGCCCATGATCCTTCGAAGTATCCACAGCTGTGGTTATTGAAGGTGTATTAAGCGTTACTTACCAGCATCATTCGGTGGATACTGGTGAGTGTCTATTGGTAAATAATCAGGAGGTTGTCGTAAAATCTCACCGAATGAAGTATCCGCCAATATTCATGTATTTCGGTTAGGTGCTCTCAGTATGAGTAAGTGCGCAAATCGTTCTGAATACAATGACCTAGTTGTAAAAGGCTTAGTCACCCTTCAAGGCAGAGCAATCTCACCAGTTCCCCTGAAATATAAGAGATGTAGTATCTCCCATCCTCAGTCGTGAAAATGGCTAGCGCCGCGCGCGACAATCTGCGTCAGAGTTATGGAATGCTCACAATCAGTTTTAATCCTGAGCCCTAGAGGAGAGTTGCTTCGAAGTGCGTAAGCAACTTTCCCCTAAAAAATTCGTCTTCCTCCGTAGATCAGTCTCAGAAGTCTTCCTACTCACCCTTCACCCCCTCCCCCACGCTTTGCAGTTACAAGTAGAACATTACCGGACAAAAGACACAAGCGGAAACAAAATACCCACAACATAGACACAAACATCAAATTTGCGCGAAATTTGCAATAAGTTTGCGCCTTCATTTGTGAATCATGCCTAACCTCCCTCATTCCTTCAGAATTACATAGTGACTCTGATAAAGCTCGCCCCAGTGCGACACTTGTTTAAACGAGCGCGCGCGGGAACATTTTTCAAAGAGGCGAGCATCTCGGTGTATACCTCCGATCCCGCCATGCGGCGCGTCTACGCCCCATCTTCCTTTCGTAACCCTATCTCTACTCTCATCTTTTATTGAAGGCTATAAAAAATTCAGACGAATATGTCTATGATTTTTAGGCCCTCACTATAACGATGACGAAGCATCCATCGTCGTTCAACTCGAATCACCTCTCAAGATTACTTAACGCGCCCCCTGCCAAGCCGCGAAACAGAGAAGGCCACGGTGCTCTATGAAGGTGTGTTTGCAACATTTCACCTCAGAAATAAAGTTTACTAGAGCTTTCGTTGCAGGACCCGTACGTGGGCTTTGTCCATTGGCACCGAATAACGTGAACACAATGGCTGGAGGAGCTATCGCAGCACACAATCTAGGCTTTGATGGAGTCACCGCCAGGCTCGTTAGCGATCCAAAGTACGATTTTTCAGGAAATATTTGGAATTTGCGGGAAGCTGTGGATTCGTACAGTGTGGAGGACCATTGGGGACGTCATTCTTTTTGTATAGGCGTCAGAAGCGGTGCTGACTCCCCAACGCATCGTGGTCTCCAGGGGCATGGTCAAACCCTTTTTTCGAAGGAACCCTAAACTAAAGCCTCATCAAAAATCGATTCCCCCCCCCCCAACCAAAAAACGTCGGTATCCCAACGCGCTCGAGTAAATGACGAATTCCTTCTTCAGAATGACCGACTGGCACGTCGTTGAGGTGGAAGCGCGGTTGGTCCAGACGGCTTCACAGTGACGACGACGCGGAAAAATCCTGCAAAACCTGGAGTGGTGACTGGACAGCTCACTTATTACTCGTTTCTAGCCAGCATCAAAGGTGAGCGGAATAATACTGATCTCTGCATTAAGAGGCATGCCCCAGGATCACATTGGTGTAGCTCTTGTGTACGAATGTGAATGTATTGGTGCGAAATGGGCCAGCAGTGAAGAAAAAAAGGGAAGAATCCGTCGAAAACGCTTAGTTAAGGCTCACTCACCTTCCTATCGGCTGTGCTAAGGGAATGAGAGACTAAGCGCGGAGAGGAGAGTATGAGGCGAGAGAGCGCTACAGATGAGAGCGCCAGACAACAGCCTGATAAGAGAAAAAAATCTGCAGCTTCAGCAGCTTACTTTGCAAGGCCCAAGCGCTCTTGTCGGTTGGTTTCCGTGCACGGAACGCCACATTTGTGATTGTCCTCTAGGGGTCTATACTACAGACGAAGGGAAGCGTTCACACGACCTCTGCCTGGGTTGTGCCTTTTAATTATTTTCCATAGACGAACGGACCACAGTGATCTGAGGCTTTATCACCTTAACAGACCTCTGGAATCCATTTGAGAACATTGTGCTTTCCGGTTCTCGAAGGGTTGACTGAAGTTTCGAAGTTCCACGCTGTTTTAGGAAGGTAGGAACACTGATACAGTGATATGAACCATGGGTAGCCCATTAGTCCTGGTATAGGCTGAGTATGCATGCAGCTGTCTTAACGATTCTAACTGGGGATTGAATGCGTGGCGTGACACAAAAATCGATCAACACCGGGAGATTAGAGATTTTTTACCTGTGTCTCTTATATATACCTAGATTCAATCATAGAGAACAGGATAAAGGTGGTGGCATGGTAAGTAGTCATTTTAGGTCACTGGATGGCAATTCTGTTTCACTTAGGGCTTACTCTTACCACATTCTCGACTTTCAGAGTCGATCTACAAACCCGCTGGGATACACATTTGCTGACGCGCCAATATTCGCTCTATCGTCATAAGGAATATAGATGAAAGAAATTTGTAATAAAAGTATGAATTTATTTGTTCTGTTAGGAGTTACAACTTCCACGGTTTTTTTTTCGGCATTTCGGATTTTTAAAGTACCCTAATTTCCGGTAGATAAGCCCGCGCCGATATCACGTAAAAACACCTCCGCTGGTGCAGTGCACTTGCGTACATCTAGAGACAACCGTAACTTGCCCATAGGGGTAATTCGATATGCTGATTACGAAAACGACATTCATTTTAGCGGTGGCGCCATCTGGCGCCAGTTGGCGTCACCTTGTCACGACCCTTGTTTTCCAAAATCGGTGTAAACTTCTGTATAGGGGTTATTTGGTGCCCTGATTACGAATATGACATTCGTTTTTGGCATTAACGTTGTTTAGTGCATATTCTCGGTTGGAGAGCGCAGACGAGCAGAAAATAGGCGCCAAATAGCGCCAGCGCCTAATGAATGTCATATTCGTAATCAGGACACCAAATAACCCCTATACGGAAGTTTACACCAAATTTGGTGAAAACAGGTGTCGTGACAAGGTGACGCCAACTGGCGCCAGATGGCGCCACCGCTAAAAATGAAAGTCATTTTCGTGATCAGGGCATCGACTTACCTCTATAGGCAAATTTGCGGTGGTTTCTAAGGTGTACAAAGTTACACTGCGCGGGGTGGTTTTACGTCGAAATCGCGCAGCTTATCTACCAGGAATCAGGTAAAATTGCGGTTGACAGAGTGACTGACATACGTGACATCGAGAAAAGCGCTCATATTATAAAACTAGCCTGTGGCAATGAGTAACAGCATTTCAGACATTAATCAGAAAGGCGCGGCGCTTGTGTAATGGCGACTGCGTCTGGAAGAACTGTATGATGCTGACTCTTTTTTTCAAAGTACAACTAGAAAACTGTACAGTAGCAGTCACGAACACTATATGAATGATTAATTCAAAAGACGTAAGGAAATTATAGGAGAAAATCTCGTTGTGAGAAACGAACACAGCTGATTATTTGCTTTTCTGCAGGCCATTAGCTGCTTCGCACTCATAGAATTTGCATCAATGTTCGCTCAACAACATTAATGACTATGTATAACTTAGCAGAAAGCCAGCCAAATTGTGTATACATCGCATAATGGAATTGTGACGCCGAAGTGACTGAGAAATTAAAAAACAAAGCAAACGCCCAATGAACCATAAACAATCTCCCACTCCCCTCAAAAAGAAGAGGAATACGGACATTCCTGGACTCGCCTCGCTCCATGCCTCAGAAAACCCCTGCGCTATGGATGAGCCGCTGCATCGTAATCGAGAATGCGTGTCATGAAGTGTGCGCGAGGTATCTCGTCCATAAGCACACATTAGTCGCCATTAGATAAGTTTGTGCGGCTCTAGCGTCATTTTCGCGCACCTTCGAGCGGAGCAAAGACTCAGCTTTGATACTCGCGGCTACTTCTAATGTTGCCATAAAAAAGTTTCCCGATGTCGCCTCATCGAGGTTGCCCTTTTATGGCTTTAATAGGCTAGGACTTGACTTGACGTCGTTCGTCACACGTCATTCCGGTTTTTTTAACTCTTACCTTATTCACCGTATATTCCTTTGCACAGTAGAATTATTGTAGGTTGACCTGCGCAGTCAGCCAGGACGGTTCAAGAAAAAAGAGAAAACAGCTCCATAGAATGTTCAGACTTCTGTCGCTCCCATTGGGAACTCAAAATTTATCAGTAAGCAATCTTTTTTTGGTGCGTTCATACTGAGTTGATCTACGAAGCCGTCAGGGTGAGAAAACTAAAAAAAAAACTAAAAAAAACTAAGGGTTGATCTAAAAAAGGCTAGTCACTGGCCATTTGATGTTTTTTGTTCTGATTTTTCAAATGTAATAGTTCAAATGCAATCTGAAAACTTCATTATCTGAAAAAATCCATACCGGAATCGGATAAGACATTCCAAAAACAACATCAAATACTGTATCAATCGTTAAAAATACACGAACTGAATTAAACGAAACCAAAATATCGCTAAAAAATAACACAACAGGATTAAAATCGATTGGAGCACTGAAGTGACTCCGCGCGCGCGTGTAAATGAGCAAAATGATTGGAAACCGATCGCCCAATTGGCTCAATGCCAATGATTGTGGCCTAAAATTTGGCTTTTCGGAACCACTGTTGATCTTTGATTATCAGAAATGACTAGGAGAGAAGCGGGGCAAAGACACAAAGTGAAGCGGATGCGCCAAAGAACACGAATCTGGCTAAGTCACAAAAGGCGCTTAGGCCTCTAGGGCCTGAATGCAATATGACGAAGCGGCAAGGTTTACTTCGTAGACGGTTGAGAAAGCTGGCATAACTCAAAGTCGAAAATACATTGGAAGACAATTGGGATTACACTCGGGAGGTGCGGTCGCGGCGCGGCTGGCGTTGCGCTCGTTTCCCGCATTTTTGTGAGCGAACTGCTGATCTGACGATAGTAATTTGAGTGGCTATCGTAAGCCCACAGGAAAGGGTTTGAACATAAGAAGATGAAAATGATGGAATAATAATATTTTTAAGAAATTCCTATTCACACCACCTTATAAGAGCAATTCCGTTCGACGCCGACTATCAGTGTGAACCCTAGGGCTCAATCAGTAAGGGAGGGTGGAAGAGGGGAGGGGGAGGGGGCATGTGATATGATAGCTCACATCGCTTAATGTTGTCCACCCTTCCGCAAAGCAAGGAACCTCCGGAATGGCTGTAAAACCGAAACAAGAATGCTTCACACACCCCGGGAATTCCCCTCTCTACAGAAATTGGACTTTTTTTTGAACAGTGGCAGCTGTCAGCACATGCCTTCGACATTGCCGTTCTGTCTAAAGACCCAACTGACATGACAGCAACCCTCCAGCAAGCCGCGTCGAAAGATCGTTGAGTGGCGTCGCATAGGAAGAACGACGAGTATCACAGATTTGCCGTTGTCGTGGATCGAAAAAGCTCGATAATGGCGATAGGGTCTTACAAAGTCAGCTCTCGTCGGCTAACTTTAGCATCTGGACGAGTTACGTCTCGCACACCCGTGACACACCAACGTGGATGACGGCGTAGCGGCCAATTCAAATACGTGCGGGTTAGTTGAGCCGTGGAGCGGGCAACTTCGTGCAACTCGTCTTGCCCCGCCCCTTCCTTATTACGAGTCTAGTAGACTTCAACTGACGGTTTTTGTCGTTTTTCATTTTAAGTCAATTGCATCCACAACTTCACTATCATTAAAACTTGAGCTGTGTGTTGATTTGAATGGGGAGTTGACTGTTCGCGAGGACTGTGGAGCTCACGCACACCTTGCGCCGCTTTTGACGCAATTGGGCACAAAATTATGGCGAACTGTTCCGTAGTGCTTTACGGCCCGCTCGCTCACATCCAAACCCTATGTATTCCGCAGCAAAACCTCTGCAGGACGGTTAAACGCAACGATAAGCCGCGATTCCCCAGCAGCTTGATCGGCCGTTTTGCCACTATTACCACTTGCGACGTCGCGCGGCTTGTTGCTCCAACAGTTTAATTCGATGAAGGATAAAAAACGCGACGTAGTGGTTAAAGCCACCGCGCTGCGACCGCACGCGCTTGGAGGAAGGGAAAGCTGTGTCTCGGGCAGCATAATAAAAGTCAATAAACTCGGCGAAAGTTACAGCGAAGCTGCTCAACAGATATGAATAAAGCTAACTGGAAAATCGTAAGACGATGTCGAAGCATTCGCTCCTATCGGTGATAAGAGGAGAACTTGGGATTTCTCCACAAACTGGCTGTCTGGGAAGTTCCCTCCAGATCGCTTTCTGGAGCACAACGTAATTTTGAACCACCACAT